GTATCACTGGCATGCATGAAACTGCTGAAAAATGCTGGAAGGCGCAACAGTCTTAGGAACTAGTTACTGCACCTTCCAAAGATCTGCATAGTCACCTCTGCGAGGCAGGCCAGTCACAGTGTCTTGAGTGTGATGATACAGGTAGAAGGTGATTAAGACATGGAAGAAACAATTCTCTATTGGTAAATCAAAATCTAACCCTTTTGGCGCTAGCCAATTGTATACGTAGCACCTCAAAACTGTCCTGGATTTTATGATATTAAAGGCAACTCTGTCTTCAGTGCACATAAACTCTCTCAGTATTGTTGCAATGTGGGTTTTTCAAATAAATTATGTTTGAAAGCTGGACTATTCACCTACTCCCAGCTGCCCTTTGCTGTTTTCAATGGACAACACAGTTTCAAATCATCTGCAAAAAATCAACTGTAGTCTTAGAGTTTTTGGTACAAAAATGAAATATTCCTGCCAGGTCTTTTTCTGGCTGATACACAAGTCTTGACAAGCAGCCAGATTAACATTACCAGACTACCTCTCTTTAACCCCCAACCTAATTACTATACTTCTAGAGGGAAAAGAATATTTTACTAAAATGTCTTATAAAATTCATCCTCTTCCTTTAATCAGAAAAGGGAAGAAATAAGACTGGGGATGAGATAATGAACCTTATTAAGGTGAACATTAAACATCATGGACTTTTAACTTGCTTTTGATAAGTTGAATAAACAAACTTTTGCTTTCATGGGATATCCAGGTGCTACTTAGAAGTTTCTTTTTGTAAGTATCAGAAATGTAATGGCTGCCAAACAATCTAAAAAACCTCAAGGGGTAGGGAATAGATTTTGCAAGTTGCCAGAAAAGTAAGGAGAATAACATTTTCCTGTTAGCTTTTTTAAAACTTTCATCCAGTTATGGGGTTCTAGAAACTTACCCCTAGAGCACTTTTCATTGTGCAATTTACACATAACTAGACCTACAGGGTAGTCTTTACAGGACATTGTCACAAACTGTCACCCATACAACATTCCCTAGATTTCAGCCAGTTACCACCTACCAGTTTCTAGAAACAAAAACAAAAAACAAAAAAACCTCTAGCAAAAAGACCAAAAAATGCAATGAATTTTGCCACTCGGGTGTGTTTATTAACCCAGCCAATGCTTACGGAATGGGATAGTAAAGCAGCCTCTAGTTTTCAATAGACAAGTGGCCAGGGAAAGGTCAAGAGTGTATCATTAGGTCGGCACAAACCATATAATGTTGTTTGGGGGACTGCTGTCTAACTAAGGACTGTTTTCTTGTTTCTTAATGAAGTTAGAAATACATCCTCCCAAAAGTTTGTTAACTTTCAGTAGAAACAGATTTTTATTGACAGTTTACAATACTTTCATAATATTTTTACTTTAAAAAATAGTTTTGGTTGTTTGTAATTAAAAATAAAACCATAGCTTATTAAAGATTCAGAAATTGTGTTGTTTACTCAGTATGCAACTGGCATAGGGGAACAATAACTACACAGACAGATTTTACCTTTTCTGAATAAGTGTTTCCTGGCTCTGAGTGTTCAGGTACTGTCAAGCACACTTAATTTGATGTCACAGAAACAAATATTACATGGGGTATACATTCTAAGTTACGGGCCTCCTTGGCCTGTCCCCGTGTGGGGAGCTGGGGCAGCTCCGCTCTCGCTCGCCCGCCTGCCTGCCTGTGGGGTCCCGGCCAAGGGGCCGGCACTGGGGGGCGGCGACGCCAACCATGCCAACCCATCACCTGACGGTTGAGGGAAATGAGGGACGAGGGTGGCGCTGTGGTCTAAACCACTAAGGCTCTTAGGCTTGCCAATCAGAAGGTCAGCGGTTTGAATCCCCGCGACAAGGTGAGCTCCCATTGCTTGGTCCCAGCTCCTGCCAACCTAGCAGTTCGAAAGCATGCCAAAAAAAGTGCAAGTAGATAAATAGGTACAGCTCTGGTGGGAAGGTAAATGGCGTTTCCGTGCGCTGCTCTGATTTCGGTGTTCCGTTGCGCCAGAAGCAGCTTAGTTATGCTGGTCACATGACCCAGAAAAACTGTCTGCAGACAAATGCCGGCTCCCTTGGCCTGTAAAGCAAGATGAGCAATGCAACCCCAGAGTTGTCTGCAACTGGACTTAACTGTCAGGAGTCCTTTACCGTTACCTTTTTATACATTCTAACACCCACCCACCCAAATACACTGAAAATCTCATTGAGGTATGAAATGCACCCCCAAAATTATTACTGTGATTCCCACCAACCCAACCCACCCACCCCCAAGATTGAATGAAGGCTAAGGGGATGGTCTGATTCTGAACTAGGCTCTGCCCTTGGATCTGCCAAAAGTTACTGAGCTCCACCCCATGGATGCACCAAACTTGGACCCACAAATGCAGCAGGGCTGGCTTGCCAAATTTTTAGGTAAATGAAGTAATGCATAACTAAGGGGATGGGGCTGTATGACCATTAAGTTCAGAGTTTAAAGTCATCTCAATGTATGTAAACACTATGCAAAGGATTTCTGCAAATATTCTAACTAACATATATAGGTTGGAAAGCCATTTTTTTCTATAGAAATGAAAGTGTTTAAAAAGGGGAGGTAGGCTGACATTTAGATACCTTGCTGCAGAAATCAGCCGTCTTAACAAACTGTAAATAATCCTCAAGGTCTCATTTATAGCACTGCTCTGACACCTTGTCATCATCAGTTGTCTCTCACTTTCAAAACTATCAGGTCAAACATACAACAAGCAAAACATAGTCACAGCAAAAAAAATATAGCCCTTTCAGTTATTTGAGAGGCTCCTGACCTAATTAAAGTTAAATCATTTAGGCCTTTTTAATCAACTTAGTGAACCACAGTTCTGGAGTGGAAAAATAAGTATAGTGTACTGCAAACCTGGTTTATTGGGGCTCTTCCACAGTTCCGGTTGTCCCGTGATCTCTAGGCATGAGTCTGAGAGGTTTTTCTTTCATCCCACTGCTTTGTCTGGGATAGCCTGCTGTTTACCACTGAATCGAAACAAACATCAGTCAGGTTTTCTGTGGATTGATGTTTGTTCTGATTCAGTGATACATAGCAGGTTTTCCCGGAGAAGGCAGCAGGACAAAAAAACCCCAAAACTTCAGACCCGTGCCTAGAAACCACAGGACAAACAGGAATATTGCAGTCTAGGTTATATTAGCTTCCATATTCAGAGGCAGCGTGTCACAAAAAGGGAAGGTTATTGCCCTCATACCCTGGTTTCATCTAGCTAGGCACTGTGGGAAGCAGGATCCTGGATGTTTAATATGAGTCAACAGGGTTCTTAATATGAGTAACACCACACACACACACACACACACACACACGAAAATGTAACTTCCATGTTTCGGGTAGGCTTAACTAGGAGTTTTGGGGGCAGGGATTTGGTTGTTTGGATTTTAATGCAAACCTAACAAGCACTTTCCAAAACAGTGTGCAAACCAAAACTTAGCTATCCTTCAAAATCTTCACTTCTCTGAATTTTGTGGATCACATAGAATCCACGCAATGTTCATGTTAGACCGTACATCTGTAGACCTATTCATTAGGTAGTTAATGCATATACTGTATATAATTCCTGATTTCTTGAAAGATGAAGTTTGTGTGCTTCCATTCACTCAAGTGCCTAGACAAGTCTGTTATGAAATATTGGCAATTATTAAAAGTACTTTTGGCCCAAAGTAGTAAAAGTCTGGGGAGATGGAGAGAAACAATAAAGTACCCAGTCTAAGCTTTAAGTAGTTACTGTCAATATTAAACCAAACATATTTCTTCTAATCTAAGTAGCCAAAGGGGAAACAATTCCAAAAAGCATTAGGAAAAATATAGGTAGAAAACCTGCTAAAAAGTTTTAAAATCACAACTCACCTCTGTATCCTGCAGGGTATATACAAAACTCTGTATCCTGCATATAGATTTTCTTCTGATGGCAGCAATTAGAATAGATGATAGATGATAGATAGATAGATAGATAGATGCTATAGTTTGTGTATATATCTATAGTTTATATAACATATAGATATAGATACATATATACACATACCCCAGCTATAATCAGTTTAGAAAGTGCAGGCAGGGTTTTGAATACTGTCTTTGAATGGTAAGAGAGATCATGACAGTAATTTATGGATCGTAAAAGAAAACTCCACCCATTTGGGTTAGCTGTATGTGTGTATTTAGTTCATAATTTGAAAGAAAGATCACTGCTCACCTTGAATAAACCTCAAGCCTTATTTGAAAAATAATACATTCTAATTGCAGTTGGTATATTCAAATATGCCACTGGAGGCAACCATTTTTACAGTGACATAATTCTGTGTCATTAACAATCTGGAAACTATCTTCAGACGGACTACATGAATAGGTTTCTAGCTTGACTTAATATGACTCATTGCCTTAGCAGGCTAACATTTCTTTAAATTGTTTTGTTGTTGAATTCTAATATTTAATTTCATCATTCTGTCTGACATTCAAAGTCAAAACATTTGAAATCTGACAAATCTGTTACATTCTGCCAAACACAGTTATTCTGCAAATGTTATATTCAGGTATTACTGCTAACAAGAGATGCTCCATACTGAATAAAAATATCTTCAAGATATTTGTCATACTTGAGAGAGAACAGGCCTCCAGTTTTGGAAAAAGGCCCATATTATAGATTCATAAATGTTTTCATTTAATCCCATAAACTTTTTATATATGTACGAATAGAATTTTATGTAAATGTGGGTTGTAATCCTCTGGAGCAGTCAAGTACATCATTTCCTGTTTGCCTAGAGTGAACATGCATGGGGAATGCTGGTCCAGCCAGTTGAACTTTCTGTTACACCTGGCTGGAGCATCCTTCCTTTTGCATGTGACTAGTAGGTGGGTGTGACCTTTCCAGACCTAGTAAAAGGCCAAGTCACATAGCCACACCTCCCTTCCTTTCTTTTTTTGTCCTGCCTGCTTCCTGATTCAACTGGACTGCACCCTAGGTTATATCCCATATGGGGTAAACCTGTTTGTACATATTTGTAACTTTAAGCCTAAAGTCTGCCTTCAGGGATCACGCTGTGCGCTGCAGTTCGTGAGTAAAACTTCTTTTTGTTACTCATGAATAAGACTATTGTGTCTTTATTCTCTTAGGAGGGATCAAAGGGGTCTTGCCAGGAATAACAGAACATATCTCGATCTGGGCAAGCCAGACTGAATTGCTTATTATCTAAAGAGACTCACACAAGTCTGCAACCAGCTTACTGCTGTGTAAAAGGGGGAATGCATTCTGCTGTATAAAGAAACTTACTAGCACAAGTTAGGAAGGATAATATTAATCAATATATCCTCTCCTGTTGCCCACAACATTCCCACAATAAAAAAGATTCTTGATGCATAATAGCTTTGAAAAGGGTTCAGGAAAGTTGGTACAAAAATACAGCATCTAGGCTGCTGGCAGGAACTTAATTGTTTGCTCATATAACAATATCATACAAACTTCATTAGTTTGCAAATTGTTTCCAGGCCCACTTCAAAGTGCTGGTTCCAGCCTCGTCTTACTGTATATGCATTTACCTATATAAATTCCCTCAGGGGAAGGCTTGCCCGCTTTTCAACTGCTGTCTGAGATGAGGCTGGTTGTGCAAAGAACAGTTCCTTCTTAGTGGTGGTATCACCCAAGCTTTGGACTTTTCTGCTCCAGAAGACTTGCCAGATTCCCCTTCTTTCTGCTTTCAGCCAGCATATACCAGTAAATACAGTACTATATAAATACAAGTTTTATTAGGGCTTTCTACAATATATGAATATCTCTTTGCTAATTTATTGCTTCTGCTACAGTTTGAGCGATCTTTTTATGCTGTATTGAAATTGTTTCTATAATATTTGTTAACAGCCTTGATGGTCTGTCAACAAAAAAAATGAGGGATTTTTTTTTTAAAAAAAGAAATATTTTAACCCACTCTTCATTGTGGAGCAAACCTAGTAGTTTCTCAATTAAAACAAAAAAATCTCAACACACACACATGTATATTTAAGCAAAACAAAAATACCGCAAAAATTGCAAGTGGTGAAATCTTTCAAAGATAAACATATTTGGTACTGTATTATGCAATCTGAAAACTATGATAAGGAGCAAACAGTAGCTTTCCCACTCAACATCTCTAACCACATATCCAGACAAGCATCCAAACACAAGAAAAATGGCAGAAAGTCTTACCACTTGGTAAAGTCCCTATTGTTTCCCACACTTTCAAATATGTCACAAGGGAATATGAATGCATATTTGCATGAGTATAGGAAACCAAGTCATCATGTGGTAGAAGAATGAAGCACATGGTAAGCAGGACATCAGATTTCAGCTTGTTTCAATCACTTTTACATTAAGGAAGTCTGCTAAGCAAAACCAGCTCCCATTTTGAAATGAGCCCAGACAAAATGCCCTCCAGGTGGACACTCTCCTTCTCTGGTGACCTTACCTGCTGATGGCAGTGCTGCAGTCTGTGCCATGCTGCTACCCACCATTTAATTTTTTTGTAATGCTCTCAGTGCAGCATTGCTCTGGGGTAGAGAGTCTCCACCCATTTTGGTGATTGTGGCAGGTTCAAAGACTCAGATCTGTAGATATCATCATTAGAAACATGTTTACTGGCTGGTGCTGAATTTTTTTAACCTTATTTGTTTTATATATCACCTTCTTCCTAGTGTAGAACCCAAGGTGATTCACAACATACCTTGAAAACAGATACAGTTTTTTTAAAGTACCAGTTAGTTATAAATATCAAAAACAATTAAACAAGTTAGCATATTAAAAAACAATACTGAGTTAAAACAACTTAAAACCTTTAAGAATGCAATAAGAGAAGAAAATATCCACCATTAAGAAACCCTGCCACAAAAGCCAGTTGGTGGCTAAAGGCCTCTAGTAATTTTGGTGACTGAGCGCTGCTTTTTTATTTGCAAAAATATCCAAGTTCACAAGTAAATAATAGTTCTGAGCCCATCACACACACACACAGCAATTATTACCTATTTGACCTTGTGGGAATATATATTAGAAATCTGAATACAATGAAATCTGTCTTTCCAACTTTAACGTATTAGAACAATATTTCATCGTCTCCCCCTTCTTACCACATACCTTTCACTGTGCTTGGCAGCACAGCCATTTATGAACAGCCCTGCATCTGCAAATACTATTAGTTTAGAAATTTTTTCCTGCACTATGTTGTTATAAAACTCATTTTTGGCCCCATTTCTTGGTATTTTTTTTCATGTTACAGGACATTTTCCCCCATTTTCTTTTCCCTGCATAATGACAGTTTTAAATTCAGCTATTTTGGCCATATATATATAAGTAGTTTTCCCGAGGCCAAATAAAATGTCAGCATAAAGCAGGTCTTGAACTACAACCATGAGCTTCTGTAGTTCATTATACTGTTAAGTGGAGCTGCTGAGGCAGACGGTGATGTGTTAACTGAAAGCCCTGTTGTTTCATTGAACTAGGCTGTTTGACTAACCTCACCCATAGCTCTGGTGATCAGGCAGTGGCCACCTGGCTTGTGATAAAAGCCATCAAAACTAAACTTGTCCGAACAGGACTGGGGAGACCCAGGTACAAAACCCAGCTTGGCCATGTAGCTCACTGGCTAACCTTGGCCAGTCTGTCTTTCAACCTCTATGTCACAGGGCTGTGGCAAGGATAAAAATGGCAAAGGGAATTATGTACACCAACTTGATTGAGCTCCTTGGAGGAAAGGTGGGGTATTAATATAAGTAACATAAAAAATCCATTATAGCTGCTGCCTTCTGCCTGATGTTTCCATTTTCTTAATCTACTCCTGCTGGCTTCTAGTGTGCTCATCTTCCTCCACCACCTCTTCAGCCCTTTCAGTCAAGTCCTAGTCAGAGAATCGTAGAATTGTAGAGTTAGTCCAAGCCCCTGCAACACAGCAATCATAGCTAAAGAATCCCTGAGAGATGGCCGTCCAACCTCTGTTGAAAAACTTCCAATGAAGAAGAGTCTACCACCTTCCAAAGTAGTCTACTTGACTGTTGAACCACTGTTACCATCAGTCATTGGGCCTAGCTGTCCCTTTGCCTTCCCCTATTATGTGATTGAACTGATAGTCAGGCTCATAAATGGCAGTCACTTGGCATTCTCCAATGGTGCTGCTGTAGATCCTTTTGGTTGGACGGGTCCTACAGTACACAAACTGTGGCCAGAACGAAGGCATGTGTGATCAGAATTCTCTTTAGGCACTCATAGGCAAACTACCCATTACCTCACATAAGTGGAGGGGGGCGAGGGCATTTGTAGGAGAGAATCAGTACCTAGTGGTGAGGTGGTGAGGCCTGATAAAATAAAGCATTCTCAAAAAATTCAAATGTGCAATTGCTGATCTTCTCACAAAAATATCTAATGACCATATCCATGTTTAGCTGTCTTTTCATAAACAAAAATGTTCATTACTTTAGACTTCCCTTATTGAGATTCCACTCTCTCCATTCTCAAGGAAAAGTACTCTCCCCCACAACACACACATTTCTTCCACATATGTGCAAATTAGTTCTTTTAAATAATGGTTTCTATTTAGAAAAAGGAAGAAGTGGTATAGTGTCCTGTGATGTTTGATATATGATAATCCAAAGTATTTCAATATTATATTACTAAATAAATTCATCACCTATGGTGTAAAAGAAAAGAAATCTAATAGTATACAAAAGGTCACCCTCTTAACTAGTGGCCATCTGAAGAACACATAAGCCACTGAAGTGGTTGCTATTCACTCGCTAGGCTATATAATGACAGTTTTGTCTGTGACCAACACTATTTTCAAAGTAGTCTCTTTCAAATAATATTTGAACTTGATTCTCTTCCATGCAAATGTTAAAGCACCAGAGAATGTGTATCTCATCCTATGCATTAATACTAATTTTCTCTCTCTTCTCTCAAGGTTTCTTTCTTTCTGTCTCAAAGTCTATGCGAAAAGCAGAAGATGATATGCTGCTCAGTACATTCACGCTTGGAAAAGTAATACAGAATGGAGGCAAAGCTGAAAAGGCACGGCCCGCATCTTCTCTTGAGCATTATAAAATGGAGGACAACAGTTTTCTGGATGAAGAGGAAGATGGAGCCCCCAAGTTCTCTGTGAGTTTCATCTTTTGAGCTAATATGGTTTTTTAATACATTATTATAAATTATATGAAACAATATAATCATTCGCCTTACAAACTCTTAAGAATTCCTGAATAGTTAAAAACTGATAAATATAATCAATCCTTAATCAGTTACAACTCTATTAGTTTAATCCAATTAGATTAACTAGATTGCTTTGAATAGATTTTTTTTTAAAATCAAAATAATTCACTGGAAGTATTCTTCTGGGCTTTTCTCTGCTTGTGACCTAGTACTGTATTTAACTTTGCCAATTTAATCATTTTCCATCAATTTCTCAATTCTGTATTGCTGAGGCTTCTTCCTTTATTCAGTTCTGAGCAATGAGAACTTTAGCATTACCAACAAAGACTAAGTTATCTGACTTCAATTACGTTTACAGGACCTAGTAAAATTACAATACAATCTGCTTAAATCTCTACTTGAGTTGTAACCTCAATTTTCCTTAATATTAACTTGCAAAATTTCTGTATCACTGGGCGGTCCCAACATATCTGCTTTATGCTATTTAAAACTCCAGCATCCAGCTTTCTTCTCAACCTCATTCTCTTTATTCATTTATTTTTTAAAAAATTATAAACTGCTCACCCACTTGAAAAAAATGGCATCCTCCAAAGAGGCTTTCTTTAAGGAGCTGCAATCCACTTCATGTTCTGGAAATGGCTCATCAGATCGACTGAGATCACTACACTTTGCATTCTGGCCATTAATATATTTTTTTCCTTTAACATCTAACATTGCATTTTTTTTTAAATACAGAATATAAATCCTAAACACCATGCCATAAGTCATGGCCAACCCATGAACCTCGATATTAAGCAACTTCCTTATTTTGCACTGGAGGGACCTATGACTTTTCCATCTGATGCTGAAGTTCAGAACATTCAATCTGTACAACAAAGGAGAGAGACTGAAGATGATGAGAACTCAGCTAAATTACCTATTGGAAGAAGAGATTTTGACAGTAAGTATGACTTTCAGGTTATTTCAAGCAAGTAAAACAGCTGGATTATTGCAGCATATTAAGGTATCAACTACTGAGACAAACACTTGGACTGGAGTCATTTCCTTTAAAAAAAATTATTAAATAAATTGATTTTAAGATTATTAGCTTAGTGAAAGTATGTAAGAAAGTATGTAAGATGAAGATGTTCTTAAACCCAATAAATAAATGTTATGTCTGTTAACTATTTATCTACACAAAAATATCAATATTTATTGGATGTTTTATGCAGTGCTCAGATGCATGCTGGGAAGAGTCTACCGACCTTGTTGGCAAGTCTAACAACTGCTGAAGTACATCATTTGGAAGAGACGAAACCATGTTCTTGACAATTCAGTAAAGAAGTAGTTGTGGTTTAAGTATTGTTTTGTGTTTGTATTGATCCTAAATATTTGTACATCAAAATACCACATGATTACAGTATACAAATGTAAAAGATTACAGTGCATTATTAAAACTGGGAATTCCGCAAAGCTTGTTGATCCATTTGTCCAAATACTGAATACATATCAATATTTATAATCACAAGGAATATGTTACTGTAGCGTATGCATTTTTTCTTTCAAACCTCAAAACGAGTCAATAATTGTTTGCATAACAATCACAGTAAGAGCATTTATAATCTAAAGAAATGAGTTAGCTTTGCTTGACCAACAATCAGTTTATTTTTGGCTATAATCTTGTTGCATTTTCCAGCCCTCTTTATTTTGCTGTCCAAACTATTCTGGCATTTCACTGCAGTTTTTGGTCTCTTACTGTGTATGTGTTGAAGTGATTCGTTTTCATTACTGCATATGACATTTTCACTAGTCCTGTCCACCTGCTTCCTCTTTGAGCTCTTGTTTCTTGGCTGGCAACTTAGTTTTCCTATTTCTTTACTTTTACTTCCATTCTGATGAACATTTCCAGAACTAGTTCCAAGTGCAGCACTTTCAAGTTGTGAATGTAGGCATTCTGCTGGTTAAGAGAACACAACATTTTTATAAGAAAAAAAAGCAAGATAATATTATTTGAGTAATTTTTTTCTGACGTGCTAGTCACTTAAATCCACATCATTATTTTTACAGATTACTTTCTTATAAAAATAATTAGCCCAACCCAAATTAGCAGAGTTAATCCACTACAAGCCAAACATGATATAGGATTGTAGCAATGATTTAGAAAAAAAATTCAGCAATTGCTATAGGAAATGGGCACACAGAGGCCTGAAAACGGGAGGAAAGTTCATCTTTAAAAAGTAAAATATACACAGCAAAATACAACTATTTGTTGATGTAAAAGAATTAAATCAACAGTTTAAACACCTTTATCTTCATCTATTTACCATGGCGATACACAGGTTATAATGTGAAGTTTAAATAACTTTTCAAGAATATTTAGAGTATCACTTTTGACAGAGGTCAATTCACACAAGGTACTTTTACACATCAGAAATCCGTGTACTGAGTTATGCGCCTGGGTGGACAAAGATAAAAGGTGCATCTGGTGACCACAGATATAGTAGCAGCAATTTATAAGATCACATTGCACTTATTCTAGCTGTTGCAGCAACAGGATTTGCTGCAAACTGTATCCATGACTGCATTATATGGCCCTTGTGATATTCCAATTACTTGCTTGTAGAAGCAAGCATAGAAGAAATACAGCCCAAAGGCAACAAAAAAACAACACTCAAAAGCAATGCTGTTTTCAACACCAGTGCTCTGAAGGCCTGAATGTTCATGGCCAACATTTATATAAAGGGGTTTTGTATTAAATAATTACAGGAGAAAGCAAGCAGTGGTGTCTCCTGTGGATCTGCACTGAGATCAGTACTATTCAACTAATTCATAAATGATCGTATTAGGAATGATCAGTGAAGTGGCCATGTTTGTGGAAGACACCAAATTATCAAGAACAGTAAAACTCCAAGTGCACTGGTGAAGAGATTGAAAAGGCGTATCTGTGAACTGTGTAAATGGGTAATAAAATGGCAATTATATTTGAATTATGTGTTCACTTTTACACATATAGTTATGCACCTTGGGACAAAACATCCTATCTTCACATATACATTTCACATATGCATATATACTGCTGGGGTCTGAACTGATAATGATGAACCAGGAAAGAGATTGTGGGGTCATTGTGGAAAACTTGATGAGAACTCCGGTTGTGTGGTGCAAAAGAAAAAGGCAAATTCCATGCCATATTGGACAGGCATAGTCTATTCCCACATCAACTCTGTAAAGTAAGTGAGACTGAGAATAAGGTATACAGGAAGCACATGATTAAAAGAACAAAATGTACATAATAAAACAAGTCCAACAATAAGTTCCATGCTGGCTAAATAGAATCTGGATACTAGTTGCATATACCAGAACCAGGGGCGTAGCTAGCTGCTCCGGCACCCGGAGCGGCAGGGACAGTGTGAGCCGCCCACGGGGGTGGGACGATCCATGCACGGGGGTGTTGCGGCGACCCGCCCAGGGGGGCGGCACAGTGAGCTGCCCATAGAGTCCACCTGGCGGACGCAAGCTCTATGCTGCCATTTCGGGCAGTGCGGGGCCCCGAGCCACCGCATCACTCCCAGGAGAGACGCGTGGCTCAGGTGCACTGTGGGCCATTTTGTCACCCCCCTCAAGGATGACACCCAGGGCGGACTGCACCCCCCTTCCTACCCCCCTGCCCAGAACCAGCTGCTGGATATCAGAACCTGGAGACAGAAAGCAGCAGCAGGCATGACTGCTTTCATACCCTGTTCGTGGACTTCCCAGGCGCCCCTGAAAGGCCCATGTTAGAAACAGATGAGCTAGATGAGTCTTTGGTGTGATTCAACAGAACTCTGATTTTCTTATACAAAACAGTTTTAGATGTGATTAGAATGGTTCATTTAAATTTGGCAACATACAAATCCATCTTGCTTATCAGAAAGATGCAACTATATAGTCACTGGAAAGGGGAAAGGGAAAGCAAAGAGGTCTTGAGAAGTTTTATTGCTGATTCGTTTACCTGCAGTTGATTCATCTTTAGAGTCTGGAACAGCCTTTTCTTTCAGTGCTGGATGTTCACATGTTGGGGCCTGGATTGCCTGGAAATGCTGACCCTTTGCCTCAGTCATTTGGTCATCTTTGTAGGTGCAAGAAAACTGAGACCTAATTAAAGGTTGCTTCAACTAAATTGAAAGAAGTGAAATTATGAAATGCAGGTGGTCGCTATGAACATGGTTTCCAATATGGAAATCTGATGTGAAAATACTTCCAGAAATTTAGATAACTATATTTTACATTATATATCGTATTGGCCCAAATATAAGCCGCATCCCCCCGCCCCCCAAAAAATTCTGACCATGAAAAATTAAAGTGCAGCTTATATTCGCAACCTTACAAAAATTGGCTTGGAATGGGCTTGTCCCCAGATGTTGCCTGGTTTCAACTGGGCCAGCTCCCAAGATGGTGGCGCGGTGAGGGTGTCCCTGAGAGGGAGCCAGAAGGCGGCGAGGAGGAGCAAGGAAGAGAGAAGCACAGACAAGAGAGTGAGAAGGTCTCCTAGGAGGAGGAACAGGAGATGCAGCCGGTGTGCTGGGACTGGCGCTAGCCTGAGGTGCTTCCTGGCTATAGCTCACCAAGGGGCATATGAGTCCCACCAGCCGCTGCCTCTCTCCGCCCATCCCATTGGGGGCCCATGGAGGTGTTGACCCTCCGGAAGCACTGCTGCCCACTGCCTCAGGAGTGAAGGCGCTCCCTCCTTGGCTCCCCTCAGCCCCCGCTCCTCCTCAGGTATTGTCATTTCTTTTTCCCCTTTAATTTTAAAGGTGCAGCTTATATTCGGGTGCGGCTTATATTCGGGCCAATATGAATATCATCTGAAGTCTTCTCTTGTTCCGCCCATTTCAGTGTAGCGTAACAGCATTGTATGATACTATATTTGGTGATGTTTAATATATGTAACTGTAGTTCCAAGCTATCACATTGCATTATCACAATACTAGAGGTTGTGAGATTAGAATGAAATACAGAGTACCATTACAATTGGTGCTTTACTGATATAAAGGCCCACAGGATTAGATCTAAGCCATTAAGCTTTGCTTAAAACAGTTTAAATCCAAATTAACTTTAAAAAAACCTTGATACATATTTTTCTTCAAAGGACTCTAAGTATGCTTATTCCACTGCAGGAGGCAAACTAATCATTTACAGCAATAGCTTCTGGAGACTGAAGAATGTCCAGATCCACCCCTGCTGTTAAGGTACTTTCTACAGACAAATAAGCAGAAGTGATCAGTTCACAGAGGACAGACCAAAACACTCTGTTTTACAGCTTTTTCCATCTTTAGAAAACTTTCAGTATGCTAAAGCCAGGTTGGGGGGAGCAGCTCAGCCAAACACATCTTCCTAATCTCCACCCCATTCACTAACTTCAGTGCTTCATCCCTGGCTTGTATTAAGTGAGAGTTCCCCAGTCTGGGTTTATTATCATGCTTAGGAAAGGAAGTGTAGGAGCTGGTGCATGAGGGTAGACAGTGTTTACCCCCAGTGCTTGTTCATGGCAGTTTTGCTGTTTTTTAAGGGATGGTGGGGAGGAAGAAGAGTGAAATAAAAGCATCATTTCACCTGAAATTGCAAATCAGGCCTCAGACACCAGACAATATAGATATGTAATCAATCAGATTAATAATAGTTCTCCTCAAGGCAAGTTAACATACCTTAATTTTTTTTTCACCAACTGCTGTCCGAATTCTCTGTCTCAAAACTTTTGGAGAAGATCCACTAGATTGTGCTGGAGATCTAAATTAATATAACAGTGACTGTAAGCAATAGTGACCAGCCCAATATATGAGAACATATTACGGTGAATTTTCATTACATGCATATATAGATTTGGCGTCTATTTTTTAAAATTCCAAAATAAATGACTTTTTAGCCTATGACCAAAAAGCAAACCCAGTCCCAAAACAAAACCTACTGCAGCTGCTCTGACTGGAGAGATGCAACATGTATTTTGATCTGCAGAGACCTTTGGCTGTGTGGGTGTTTAATTCATTTTAAAGAAGGGAGCCAATTCATATGTACACAAAAAATGCTTGTGTAAATAGGTTCCCGCCATGAAACAAATGCTTTTTTAGTTCAGAAATCTGCAGACATACAAAGGAGCTCTGCACCTATTGATGACAGCTTGATTGGAAAAGCTAATATGGGGGGGGGGGAGAGAACTTATTTATTTATCATTGTACATACTTTTAGTTTTTTACCCTTTTTCTGTTGTTTTTATTTTATCACTGTAGCTGTAATGACAATTTTGGGTAAAGTCATAAGTTTACTAAACATTCTGCTGAAACTGAATTTTTCATTAAGGAAATATGGGTAGCAATAAGGCTTCTCAGTTATCTAACTCCAAGCAACAAAAAACTGGCTCAGTTAGAAATTATCTTTAACAGTACTTAAATCTTGGTATGCTTCTTCTCAAGCGTTTCACTCCATTTTTTACTTTGCAATTGTTTCCCCCTTGTTGATGACATAATTTTTGTTATACAGAATTCCATGACTAATATTTTATTGACACAATATTGTCATCCTTTTCCACCCAAGAATAATTCCAGCCAAGGACAGTTGAATGCATCAACTTCCTGAGCCACTGTCTTCTTTGAAACACACATTCCACACTTCCCAAGTTACAGTATGCTTGTTGTTCTTTACACAGTCTTTGTATAGGAGATAACTGCAGATGAGGTGGCCCCAAGTCATCAGCTTCATGGGAAAAAGTATTCTTGCTCTCACCTCTTCTGTGAGGCTTTGCCAGTTTTCAGCACCTAGCACTTACCTGAACAACAAAAAGGTACAAGGGAATCCGAATTCATCACCAAACAACATTTGGGCTTTGTTTTTGGGAGGAGGATCGGTAGCTGCTTCATCCAAAAGTGCTAATAAGGCCTTCACAGTATCTTTGCCACAGTAAGCAGTGCCATGGTTTATAGCATGCAGCTTGGGCTGAAATTAAATATTGACTATTATTAGCTTTACAGGAGGGGTTTGCATCAATTGACTCACCTGATCAAAGTAGTTTTAGGTCGTACAATTTAGGATATAAAACCTCTCTGATAAAGCTTAAAACCTGAACATAAATGTTTGTGCATGTGTATCATTGGATTAAAAGTGACTAGTTACAGGTTGGGATTATCAGATACGTGGGTGGAGGTTGTATCACATAGTACATCTACTTATCTTAGAACATGCTGTGCCCCAACTTAAGACAGCAAGAACCAACAAGGTGCACCACTGAAGGTGTTCATGCAGAAAGATAATGCCAAGGGATTGAAGCAAGGGAAAGCTTAGCAAAAAGACCTCCCAATCCAGCCAAGGAAAAACCCAGCATATAAACATTAGTAACATAATGTTAAGGGTAATCACAATGTCAACCATTACTAAGAATGAAAGGAAAATCTTATTTTTTTTTCAAAATCTAAAAAGGTAGAAGTTTATAATGTTTGGGTAAAATTGTTGTTGTTGGTAGCAATGTCTTGAGACACTAGACAAAATCTAGAATATTTCACTCTGCTGTTAAGTTATCAGTAATAAAGTATTAGAAAAACTCTTTTCTTTCATAATTCTTTAGAAGTACCTTATTTGCCAAGTAAGAGTATGTGTACACACACACACACACACACACACACACACTGATCCCTCAGTGCAAAGCAAATTCTTTATTTCAACTAGTTAAACCCATATTATAGGAAACCTAGATTGCACAGATAGTTCTTACATTGTATTACATATATTACCTATTATTGTATTAAATTTGTATTACTGAGCTAGTTTCTACATTCAAATCATTAAGAAAAATGTCCTTTCTTTTATATCAAACAATTTAGAAGAACAAAAGGAGGCCCCTTACCCGGGCTGGACTAATTCCAGCGGTGCTAGCTGTCATAGACTCATGCTGAAAGTTGATAATATTTTTAATCCTCAAATCCAAATCTTGTACAACTTCCTCTGCTGCTTGACAGAAGGCATCCCCGCTGTTTCTTCCTTTTATCAAATGCATCTTGATTGTTGATAGAATTTTCCCCCCTGCAAGTCTAAAAACAGACCTAGGGTCATCTCCATATTCATCTTGGCGCTATTTTAATATACTTAATAGTTCTGAAAACAGAGTGTCTTCACAGTTAATCAAAACTGTTCAGCCAACAGCTTTGATCTATTCAGTTGCACAGCATCATGCAATAAGATCTTGCCCTTTAATGCAATCTTTCACTTTTAAGAATTGGGAGATTACAAGAGTCAAGGAGCAGGGACAGTAGACTTCTCTCTAGTTTACAATTGTAAATAGAAAAGGAAATAATTAAAACTTGCTATGCCATCAGGCTATCATTTGTTCACTCACATTATCTAATTCTGCTCATTAGCCACAAGTGGATTAAAGTTTGAAAAGAAGTGAAATCTGCCTGTTGTTATAGAACATTTCCATTTCCCAAACTTTTATAAGCTCATAAGCCAGCAAAAGTATTTTGAGTACTGTATAGCAATAATTAAATAGCTAGCACAAATAGGTCATTTACAAACATATTTTTAATAAAAGTGTCTGACATATGCTTCCAGCAGCAGAGGGAAAGACAAGATTTCTATATTTTTAATACAGTGCATACTTTATACAAGTCAGTTCTGAACATTCCATGATGCATACTAGTGTGTAATCAAGAAAACAGAAATTTAGTGAGGACCATGCAAATAGTGATTCTAGTGATTAGGAATTGAACTTATTCTAAGTACAGTGAGCAGCTTTAATCACTACCCCACGGCAATTCTTACATGATCGTTGGGTGTTTGTTGGTATATAGGTAGGAGTAAAGAATGTAAACTTTCCATCCTTCTCTGACCCCCCACCATTCAAACTTGACAGGCCTTTAGCCAGCTTAGTAAGAAATGAAGCTTCTGCTCTGTTAGCTCAATTACAGAGTCAGGAAAACCCTCCTTTTCAAGAAACTCCAGTAGCCAAGCATTTTGTCCCAAATATGACCTCTTAGTAAGCCACTACTATGTCTCTATCTAGTATGGATTTTTACCTGCATAATTTCTGATCAAAGAGCTCTTAAGTGTAAAATCTGAGTAGTAAAACCCATGGTACCTTAATCCAGAGTTTTCCCCATACACAAACACTCAGTGGTTTTTTTTTCCTTAAAAAAAATGTTTAGCACTACTCTCATTTTCCTGCTCATATTGAAATACCGCCCCTTAATGAGGCCAAACTTATATTCACAAAATGTTTAGGGGTATGTGTACCCCTGCATCCCCCCAGAAAAAAAGCACTGCAAGCACTGCTACCTACCTTCCAATAAGGGACCATCATAATTAAAACTTCTGTTCATCATAGGTATAGAAAAGACTCTTTCAAGGCCAGGCAACCTACAAGTGTCTTTTGATTAAGATGCTTACAAACCAATCTCCCATTAAAAGTCTGGCAATTGTGTATGAGGATCACACCTAGTCTGATTGGATAGTTCTACAAAGAGGGCCATTTAGCTATTATTCTTGTTCTGGCAGCACAACATTCAGGAAAACTAAGATCAATGTGTTTGTTTCTACCTAATATTGCTGCTCCAACAGCTAATATCCCAATGCTCATTTTTCTTTCCACGTTTTTCATTTCCAGGAAAAATGTTCCCATTCCCCATCAGATATACACAACTCTAGCTGGAGCATTGAAAGGAAAACTTCATTCATTTTTCATATGAGAAGGCCAAGACAAAGTACTGATCTACTGTGTTTGGGAATTAAAGACATTATGCCATGGTTTTCTTCATTTTGCATTAAGGTACAGTATAAACAGATTAGTCTTCCAATCCGATTCTACCCTTGTTTACTCAAAAGTAAATCTCACTGAATTAAACAGGATTTGCTCCTAAATAACTATGCAAGAGGTTGTACCTCAGGCTAATTTTATTAAGTTGCCCAAAGTATTCAATTTGTTCCTGATACATTTGCATGAATGATTTTAAGCTGTACAAAAAAAGCCAAGCAGTTTAAGATTTGGTCTACTTCATTTCCTGCTACATTACCTGTACCACATTAAATTAATTTAAACTGATTTCTGTCCCACCTCTGACCTGCAATATTAATAACTGGAAAGTTACACTTCTGGTCAGCAGAGAGTGGAGCATACAGTAAGGGGTTGGCTCATCTTCAGAAGGCAGGGTAAGAAACAATTCTAAAAATGTTTGCAGTGGTGAGCTAGAAGAGGAAAGAACCACCCTCCTATCCTCTCACTTGGCCTTGATGATAGCATTGTGGCTGTAGACAACAACAACAACAACAAAAAAAACTACACCAGGGAACAAAACCTTAACAGAATAGTATAAGGAAATAGCTAGAAAAATATGGAGAAGGGGTGTATTTAGAATCCCTGCCTGGCTGACCAGAGGGAACTGCACAAATGTGATGTACATAGACCCTTGTATCCCACCACATTGATTTGACTCAAAAGGCAAAGCTGTATGCGCTATTGTCTGCTAACCAGAAAAAAAATCTCTGCTTTACAGTAAATCCAACTTTTCATTCTTCATCAGTGGATTATACAGGAAAGGGATTTACAAATGCAGTACCCTCATGGACTGGGTGGAAGGAGAATTAGTAATCACAGCACTTGTTGCAGGATCCTCCTCCCAAAGGCTGCTTCTGTCAAAACATATTTATCTAGTTTGTAGTGCCTGGTGAATGTAGAGGGGTGAGCCCATGTGAGTGCCCTGCAATGTCCTCCATTGAAGTTCAGGTATGCAGAGCTGCTGAATAGGCTCAAAAAACTGGTTGATGGGTGTCCCAAGTACTAGGTACATGTCCCATGTAGGGAATCTATGAATAAATGCAGGGGGGTGGCAACAGGAGCAGGGGGTGGCAACAGGAGAAAAGAACCACATAAGAACTGCTTAGTGTGGCTATGGGACCTTCCCCCGATCCAGTAACATTCAGTCCAGGGCCACCAAGTGCTTTCAAATCAAGACAAGCTTGCACAAATTCAAGGATCTCTCGGACGCCTGAAGCTGTGGCCTGGAAAAAAAGGCATTTCCACCAGCAATGGAAAGCTTTCCTGGCCATTTCATAGATTAGATTGGTGGACAAACATCTGGAAGCTAGGATTTTCCAGGCCACTTTATTGGGAAAACCCTTCGTCTAAAGCCACTCATAGTCTAAACACAGAGCTGCTGCCAAGATGGGGGCTTATGGGTTAGAAAATCCAGTTGCATTGGGATATGCCAGAGTTCTTAACAGCTCATCAGGTCCAAGAACCACAGACTCTGGAGCCAGTGGCAATTCACTAGTTGGACCCTGTCTCAGAGTGTTCTGACCTTCTGTAAAAGTTTGGATAGGAGGAGAAACCGTCAGAGTAATGACAGAGAGGTGGCATGGGTACCAGGTGGCCTATCATTCTCAAAACTGGGTCCAGGATGGGGAAAAGCCTTGTAGGTGCACCATGCCCATTAGATGGAGCTGGATTCAGGTTATGAACTTCCTTGTTTTGTCCAGAAGGTTGTCTTCTTGCTCCTGGGACACAAATATTTTGAGCTGGATTGTGTCACCCCCTCCTCACTCGCAGGTGTTGGATCCTCTCAGCTGTGATGAGAAAGCTCTTCAGTTGATTTATCATGAAGCCATGTTCCTCCACTACTAAAGTGGTGGTCAGGATGTCCCTGCATGCTCTGGCCTGATTCTGGCCTGATTCTATAGTAAACAAGTTGCTGGCGGCATAAAAAGAATACTACTACTCAATATGATTTTACAGTATGCACTCTTTCTGGGAACTATGTGACGGAGAAAGCAATACAGACTGTCAAGAATATGGACAGCATTCAAAAACCTGATAAGACATAAAACAGCTTCCCCAACATCTATTCCAGGAACAGGAAAGCATATATCAAAATCCTATTACAGAGGCATTTTTATTTTTCCCCGTCATGGCAGTTACAGAAAATACACATTGCAATTTATAACAAATATAATGTATTATATTACGTTATGTTGTTATACAATAGAAAGACAGCTCATGATAGATTGTGGGCATCAATCAGCATGAGAACTTATGTTATTTTACCAATTACTTATTTTAGAATGCACATTTTTATAGAATAGGTGTTTGAAATGCTAGCTCAGGTATTTTGATGCCAACTCTCTGGAATTTCCCCTCGCCATATTCAAAGCCTTGTATCATCCCTCATAGTTTTCACAAACCTCTTTTTACTCCAGGGTCAAAGACTTTGGAAAATTCTTCAGCTGGCCAATCAAGTTTTTTGTTTGTTTGTTTGTTTTTTTAAAGAATACAGTGACCACTCTGGTAAACTCCATCCTCACTAGGTACTGTTCCCCTATGTGCGCCTCATCAAGGGGTCAATGGTTTTTATACTTGAACTTCTCATGTAATGACTGGTATGATGTGATGGGCATGCAGATTTATAGCTATCTCAGGTTAGAAGCATCTTCCATTATTTAAGGATGCCAGAAATATTTGCCCAGTTAATGGTTTAACACGTAGCTGGGCTGTTTGTCTTTTCTCTGCTAAAAAAGCATGACCAACTAAAGGACATCCCATGTAGCTGTTCAAAGAGTTATATATCCTCAGCCCACAAACTGCTCTAAGATACAGGAAATTTTTCTGGCCATGTGATACTGAACTATATTTTCCTAAGGAACCCTCCATTATCATGTCACCTCTCTTCCCACACTGGCTCTCTGAGAAGCTTTGTAACTATAGCAGGGAAGGTCAGAAATTAAGGGAGCTGGAGTTGTACAATGTTTGGAGGGTCACAGGTTTCCTATCCTTAATTTATAAACTCATTTTCACTTGAATCCCACCAGCACCTCCCTTCTCTCTCCCTTGCAGATCCTTGCTCTGTCTGCAAAGTTGACCTCCTGTTATACAGCTCACAGTTATCAAGTTCATGTATCAGGTTCTCATCCTTCAATGAACTCTTCTTTAATTATTTCCTGAACTTTTGCCTAAACTGACTGCTTCTCCCCCCGCATTTCTCCTTGTCAATCCCATTCGTTCTTCACCCACCCAGATTTGCCCAGATACTGTGAACTACAAAGTTCTTTGAACACAGATGTCACTTCTGTGGTTGTGCACAGGATGTAGTACTAGGCAAGTTTGCAGTAACAGCACTAGCCTCTGTTACTACTACTGATATTCTTTGGTAACACAAGAAAGCAAGCTTAAATCAAGAAAAACTAGAGAAAGAAAAAATGGAACAGAAGCAAGAAAGATTCGCATATCACAATAAAGCACAGTGCAATGTTTATGAGCTAGAATTAGTCCAAACAAGTCCCAGTTTCATGTGCTCCTCCCCTCTGGAATTTGGAAGTTTTAACGTCCACTTTTACTTAAGCTCATCTTGCTATGCCATCTGGACCCAGAGTTATAATAAACTTTATCAATCAGCTTCAGAAACCAGTTTGAAGTTGGCTTCTTTTAAAATTAACCATAGTTTTAACCACAGTTTGTTTGTCCAGATAACATAACAAACTGTGGCAAACTTAAAGCAAAAGCAAAAGCTTCTGAACTCCCCCACCCAGCTACACTGAAGGAAGAGAGAGGAATATAGTGTGTAAACTTCTGGCTTTTTCCCATTTATGAATGTCATGAAAAACTAGGAGTGAGGAACCTCTGGCCCAGAGGCCTAATTAGGCTGTCAGGAATCCACTTACTTGTCAGTCACACCTACCTGCAAGTCCCATGACATCATGGCAGGTATATGCAAGTAACAAGATGGGAGAGCCAAAAGGGCTGGCCAGCAGGGCTTCAGAAGCACTATACACCCAGCTTCTGAAGTACAACCATCAGCTGATCACTGGTACTCCAACATGCTACATCATTCAATGTCATTGTGACATCAGGTGATTGACAGGTGAGTGGCCCTGCACAGCTCAAGTTTGGCCAGTGGGGGTTGGGGAAGAGAGAAATATAAGGCTCTGGCCTGCTACATTGATCCAGTTGCCTCTGTGCTAAACAACATATAGTGTGATGTGCAAACAACATATAGTGTGATGTGAATAGAAATGTATAGGATTTCTGTGTCTACTCAGAAGTAATTTCCAGTGCATTTGATGGGGTTTACTCCAAGTCAAACTATTTTTTTTTCAAATAACCTCTCTTGCCCTGTCTGCTTTACTGCAGTTGTTATTAAGGAAAGGCTGAATAGATTCAATCTTCATATTGATAGGCTTACAAGTTTTGAAAACCCTCTATCTAAAATAGCTAAGAATGAGTGCATTTGTAATAGTTGCTGGCTTTGTTTTAATGAACAATATACATTTTAAACAGTGCTGCATGTACACATACATAGGAAAATTATTACCTCGGATCCTGGACTTCACCAATAATTTCTTCCAGTTTATCAATGAAGTGAACCAAGTGTGAAAGTCCCTTCATATGGGTTCTTAAAGGATCAGCTGGGGAAGGGGCATAACCTTTTCCTCCAAGTTCTATGGTTCTGATAAAAGACGTCGCCATCTAACAAGACATATAATTTAGCTAAGTAAAATAGTAATGCAAACATAGAAAACCAATACACCACACGTAAACCACTAATATTCCCACAAATATCAGGATGATTCATGGCATCAAAGAAAAGTCCAAATTATTCCTTAAAATTAAAGTAAACATAATGGCTTTCTATGCGATTGTAAAACAAAGACAAATTTGTTCCAAATATGATAACTGTGTGCTATTGTGAAGCAAAACTACAAATCTTTGGAATACTTAAGTATATTAATTATTCAACCCATTCTACTGTTTCAAGCCAGAAGGATTGTGCCTGCTTAGTAAGACAAATTTGATCTTCCCATTAGCCACCTTACATTTAAATGTTTTGTGCAGAATTCAATTAAAATTGTGTCTATCAAAGCAGGTACTAGCATCATGTGACTTCTGGGTCAAAATTCTGACCCCATAGCTGCCAACTCAGAGGTGGCCTGTATGGAAGGCACATGAGTCTGCCTCAACAGGACTTGGGATATTCATTGACCCTCAAGCACATCATAAAGTAATCCTTTGGCAAAAACATACACAAACCCAGTTAACCAGTGCAGCAGAATCTGGTGGGTCTACAAGTGTGTTCTTCCTATCTACATATTGTATAATTAAAAAAAAAGTTGGGGTTAGATTTTTAGAGAACCCCCAACCTTGTATAATAATTCTGCCAGTGCTCATTGATACACTGCAGATTTTGTGTGCTTCATAGGATCTTGACTACTCAATGGAAAGTATTTCATCATTCTTCTTCTTTAGAACAAAGCTGCCAAAAGAAAACCATGTTTTTATACAAAGAAGTTTTCTTTCTTTGGTAACCATAAAAGAGTGGCTGATGAACATAGTCCAAGTCCATAATTCATAAAACACCAAATAATACAACTTTAGGAATTGAACTGATTAATCTTTCACATGTTTCCATACTTATTCAATTACAACACCCCAAAAACTTGACTATGCTACATCAAACCTGTTCCCAAGTCATGTTTTGAAAGGAATTAACATTTAAAACCCAAATTATGAATACATGGTTCAGTGCTCTGGCCTGAGTGATTCCCTATGGCTCTGTCACTGGTAATGGGCAAAGATCTTTGAGAAATGCCCATTTGACAGAGAATTTAGGAAACACTTTTTTCACAACTACTGCTTCATAAAGCAACTTTAGTACTCTGAAGCCCTTCAGTTTTGATTTGCTCCCCTCTGGCTCCACCAAAACTATACTGATACAGATGGGCTGTCCTGAGAAGCTAGTATATTAGAATGATTTCAGTGAACTTTTTCAGTATTTGGTGTACTGACACAGCGTACCTGACTGCAACAATCCTCACAGAATCTATGCCTATATTAATTTGTCTAAAATGGCAGAATGGAGGATTTGTACAACCAGCATGGATAATGCAGTACAAATGGATGACTTCTTCTGGCTGTTACATGAACAATCCCAATCCAGCTCCTATACAGTTTGCTTTAAAAAAACAACCAAAAATCATCCTATTGCATCTCCTCAATGCCTTCAAATACAAAAAAATGCTTTGATTTGTCATACGTACCAAGAATATGGACATTTGTCTCTGCTGTGCAGCATGTTTTAGGTCAGTAAAAGCTTCCCTTCCAAGTCCTCTGTCAGGAACGTTTAAAATGTAAGCAAATGCCAGATCATTCTTGGAGTTAACCAATATAGTTAAATATGCATACAAAATTTTTTTCACCATCAATGGTAGCTACATAAAAGAGAATCCTGTTAGTTTATTCTATAATAATAATAATAATAATAATAATAATAATAATAATAATAGGTGGCTTCCAACAAAATATTAAAATACTGTGATACATCAAACATTAAAAGCTTCCCTAAACAGGGCTGCTTCATGAAAACACAATTTAGCAAAATATTAGGAAACTCATATGTAGGAAAGCAAAAATACTACACTAGCTTTCAATTCACTAATCTACATTTTGAAAAATCAGATAAGCAATTAAAGAAACAAATATGGATTATAATTAATATATAAAAGTACACTGGACAAAATTTTAAATTACTTTTGTTCTTTCCAGCCTGAGATCTAGACTTTCCATACTGACCACCCTGGCAATAGACGCTATTTCATCATAGGATTGTTCATCATTCCAATCTCATTAATGACTCCAAGTAAATTTTACTGTGTCAGACATTCTATCTCCAGAGCAAGGTTTGAGTAACTGAAAGGCAGCAGGGGTGTACAGGTAAGAAAACATGGATAGAGATTATGATGGGATTCTGAATCTTGGAATCTTTTACCATGCTTATCTACATGTTCTGAAATGTCTTTCCACAAAATAGAATACTAGTTTTCTTCTTTCAAAGAAAGCAGAGATGCAGCTAAATTTCAATACTGTATTAGAGTCCAAGTGTGATTTCTGTACATAAGCAAATACGTGTTATAATAAACACTATGATAGTTGGGATATAGGACAATACTCATACATTTTACCTCTTCATGATCCTGGTTCACTCTGCTGGTTGGTGTTGAGGGGGTAGGAAGAACTGAATGATTCTCAATGGCTAAATCTGCTATTCCGGCAATAAATTCTAACAGTTGTGCCTTTGGGAAGCAATAAGATATTTCAGAACTGTAACTAGACACTCTACTACCATTCTTTTCAAGGAACAGGTTGTGGAGGCTCTTTTGATTCTTGAGTACCCAGAACAAAGTTTGCTGCACAAGTAGATAGCAAAAATCCCAAAGCAGAAAAGTGGTTGAGGAATATGGGTGCTCAAAAAGAAAACTTTACTGGTTAGCTTTAAACTGGTCCTTGTTGAGAATGCAGGAGTAACCCATTAGTGCCAGAATCTCTCAGAGTGCTCCTTTTCTCTCTGTTCACATTCTCCACACCATCCATAATCTTATAGACGACAGAAGTATCAAAGATTATGCATGTTGTGGAGAAAGTGGATAGGAATTACTTCTTCACACAGTGCATTAGAGGATTGGCTCCCACATGATGCAGCAATGGCTACCAACCTGGGTGGTTTAGACAAATGCATAGAGAATAGGGCTACCATGGTTACAAGTCAATGTTCTCTCTCCACTGTTAGAAGCAGTGTGCCCCTGTATACAAGTTGCCAGGAATCCTAAGTAAGAATGCTATTGCACTCACATCTTGCTTGCGGGTTTTCAGTAGGTATCTGGTTAACCACTGTGAGAACAGGATGTGGGAATAAACATTTGAACTGATTCAGCAGGGCTCTTATTATAATTTAAAGGATATAAAATGTCACGATCACATTTGTAAAACAGAGGCTTGATGGGGAGGGACCTAAAAATTGATTCCAGAATACTTGTTGGATATTGAAAACCAAATTGCGGCTTCTGATTGGCTGCAGGAAGCTCTTGCAGCCAATCAGAAGGCACAGAATCCCCAATGGATGTTCAGGTTCCAAAAGAACGTTCGCAAACTCAAACAATCACTTCTGGGTTTGCGGCGCCAAAACATATGAGTTCTAGGGCGTTTGGGATCCAAGGTACGATTGTACAAAGAAATCTCATAACTACAGAAGTTTCTTTATATCCCAGTAACAGAGTACATGGACATGGACATATGTAAGGCTGGAATGGGCTTTAATTCCTTTAGATACAAGTTTCTGGTACTGTTTCTTTTTTTAAGGTGATTAAGTGAATCAGAAATTTGCAGGCATTTGATGATAGGGAAATAAAATGATAAAAAATATTCAAGAATCAAAATTACAAAAAAAATCAAAAATCAAAACTTCTAAAGCAGGATTTCAACAGGCAGCTCTTTCCTCATCACATGCTCATAATTTAAAGTACCATAGCAGTTTGTCTTCATAATGTTTCCGATTAAAGTGACTGCATCCCTGGAATTTAATTCTGAGTTACTCTGACATGAAAGAGCATCCTTTCCATAGAGTTGTGCCAGACACATTAAGAGGGGATTATCTTATTTCATAACCACATAGCTTTTATCCTTACCAAGTTTAGCACAAAAACTGAAGTAGCTTATATGGCTAATATGTGGCTTTGGCATGGATTGCAGGATTACTGTGTAGCTAATTTAGCTTCATCTACATCACTTTCTTGGCAACATTTTATTCCATTCTTTTAAATAAGCCCACAAAAGTTACTAGCCCACAAATAATGCTTACCAATCCACATATACTTTGTTAGCCATTTTTGTGGCACAGCAACAGGCTGAGATAAAGCAAATTTGAGGTGTTCGTTTCTCTGCTTGGTCGCCTTAAAGTCCAGCTTACTTGTCATAGGCTATGAGTAAAGTGGCTGTTTTAATTAATTAAATAAATAAAATACTTACACAGGAAACCGATTCATTTTCCAGTGCTAGTGCCCTACATTTTTGATAGACATCTATTAGATCCATCATATTGCAGCGTTTTAAAAAGCTGGCATATGCACTTGTGATGTCAGCATAGTTTTCAGGAGCTTCCATATTTTTCTGCAGTATGCCCAGTTTGTCAGGTACCAGGTAATTCCAAGTTAGTAGCAGTTCACTAAGAGATGCTTCAAAATCTCCACGGTTCTGTAAGTTAATACAAGAGGGGGAAATCTGCTTACGGTACTTATTTGGAACAGGAATTGCAGGCTAATAAAATACAAACCAGTCTTACAAAGTTATATTTTGCTGAAAAGCAAAAACTAATCACATAGAGCATTTAACTATTTTTATGAAAGACTTTAGGGAAAATACCCATATCAATTTCCTCCCCAAGCCTTTTAAAAATGCATTGTTGTGTCATGGTTGGATTCTAATGAGACATTATATAGGAGAAAACATCAAGATAATATATCTATGTGGACTGGTCACTGTTTCTAAGGTTTAAAGCTACATATCAAAATCATCATGTGACTTAGAGCCATGAGACATTACTTTAGACTCATCTTCCTATGGCCACTTATAGCCTTTTCTGTTTTCCTCACTCTTCCTTTCCTCAGTTTCCCTTACATTTTTCATATTTATAGCAATAGCAATGCCTTACTTCCTGGAATATCAGGCTAGTGTGGTGCAGGACTAGGACATGGGGGACCAGGGCTCAAATCCTCACTCAACTATGAAACTCACTATGAGACCTTGGGCCAGTCACTGCCCCTCAGACTCACCTACATCACCAGGTTGTTGTGGATATTAAATGAGAGGAAGAACCATGTATGCCTTTAGCTCCTTGGAGAAAAGGGTGTGTGTGTAACAAATGTAATCAATAAATACATATCTAAAAAAGTTTCTAGAGCCTGGTCTCCCACAGACACTGACCCTTACATATTTATTTTATTTATTAAATTTATATTCTGCCCTTCCCCTCAAAGGAGCTCATGGTAGCAAACAACACAGTAATAAAACTGTACATATAATAAAATAAAAACGTATTTAAAAACACTTAAGAATGACTAAAAAGGTAAAGGTACCCCTGCCCGTACGGGCCAGTCTTGACAGACTCTAGGGTTGTGCGCCCATCTCACTCAAGAGGCCGGGGGCCAGCGCTGTCCGGAGACACTTCCGGGTCACGTGGCCAGCGTGACATTGCTGCTCTGGCGAGCCTGCACCAGCACAGCACACGGAAACGCCGTTTACCTTCCCGCTAGTAAGCGGTCCCTATTTATCTACTTGCACCCGAGGGTGCTTTCGAACTGCTAGGTTGGCAGGCGCTGGGACCGAACAACGGGAGCGCACCCCGCCGCGGGGATTCGAACCGCCGACCTTTCGATCGGCAAGCCCTAGGCGCTGAGGCTTTTACCCACAGCGCCACCCGCGTCCCTTAAGAATGACTAAGACAATCTAAATACATTTAAAAGGCCAGCATACCTTCCCCATGGTGGCAGCATCATATGCCATCAAACCATTCCCTGCACAAATGATTGGTGGAGTGGATTGGCTTCAGACTAAAGCTGAACTTGCATCCAATTGAAATGATTTGGACCAGCTAGTCTACCTATACAGTGGTACCTCAGGTTAAGTGCATAATTCATTCCGGAAGTCCGTACTTAACCTGAAACTGTTCTTAACCTGAAGCACCACTTTAGCTAATGGGGCCTCCTGCTGTTGCTGCGCCGCCGGAGCACGATTTCTGTTCTCATCCTGAAGCAAAGTTCTTAACCTGAAGCACTATTTTTGGGTTAGCTGAGTCTGTAACTTGAAGCGTATGTAACCTGAAGCGTATGTAACCCGAGGTACCACTGTACTACACTGATTTAAATAGGAAGTAAATGTCATCTGTGTCCAGTCCACTCACCATGTTCACATGTCATGCTATGCCAGTGTTTCTCAAAGGGTGTGGCATGCCATACTAGTATGTCAGGAGAGGATGGCAAGGGCAGCAGGAAGATTTGAGGACAATCATTCAGTGTAGTATAGTATCATTTTATTATTATTATTTGCAGAATATGGATAGATATCTTTTCAAAATGAGAGGAAGAGCACCAAGCGATACTGAGGACAATCCTAGCTGTGATCCAGAATTGCTGTTTGAACAGAGTGCTTGAAAATAGCATTGGCTATTCTTCTACAGTTCTCCACAACGTACTGTTGTGAACAGGGATTTTCAACTCTGACAAATATGAAAGATTGCAAAAGAGAAAAAGGCCTTGATGAAGAGATGATAGTTTGTCTGCTTCAAATTAGACATAATATAAATGAGATTACCTGACAAAAGCAAGCTCGCATTAAATGAGAGGTGTGAGTTTATATACATATTTATGGTACATATGTAAGAGGCTCGTCTATCATATTTTGGGAATGATTCATGTTCTTATTTAGCTGTATTGTTTTATACTTTCTGGATGCCCCCTGATCATATTATAAAGTAGTTGTGTTCTATTTTATAAATCAAGTACTGATAGGATTTCTTTCTTATTGTTTTCCAATGTATTTCTTATCAATAAAATATTCAATGCAGTACAAGCAAATTTTTATTCTGAAAGTGTAGTCCAGAGAAAAAAGTTTGAGACCCACTGTGCTATACTATGGTTTAGTATTACAGTATCTGCATGAGAAGAAATGAGCCACTGTGAGACTTCCATCATGCAACCATTTAGAAAAGTTCATAAGTTTTTTACTTTCCTTTGCTTAACTGTGGTTTTGCTGTGACTGACAAATTGTTGCTAAATTAACTATAGTTATTTTCAAATCAACCAAACTCAGATTGTTGTTTCTGAAGTTGGCTTATTTAAACCATAGGTGGCTTAACCATTGGGTCAGGAGGCCACACCAGGTGGGTTGTGGCAATGCTGCTGCTGCCATGTTGAACTTTAGCTAAGGCTAAATCCCACCTTCCTGTAGCTATGCCTGTATTGAGGTAGATCGACATGGAACAAAGGTACTCTGTTCACTTTCTGGTCTATATCTATGGCATTCTAGACTTCTCCTGGAATGAAAGTATGCTGAGAACTAGAATGCATTAGTGTTTTGCTGGGATAGTTTGGCTGCCTGGTAGTTGCCATCATAGCAGCTGGTGGGGGCCCAGGAAGTGATGACAAAAGTCTGGTGGTTGCAGCTCTTTTTAAAAAAATACTGTTTTGAAACCAGTTCTTTGAAGTGTAACTACTAGTTAAGCTTCAGAATAATTCAGTCAAAATCTTTTCTCACAAGATGAAGAATTTGCAGAGCTTAACTGTGTTTATACTGGTATTGTAAAAACATTTTAAATCCAAATAAAAATGCTGTCCAGATATCAGTTTTCATGATCAGGTGCCCACCGTGACAGCATATTATTCATAGAAAGGATTGTGAGAGTTTGTGGTAGGACTCAGAAAATGTTTTGCTAGGAATAAATGCCAGCTGGCTAATTTATAAAGGAAGTTCACAAAGTTCAACACTTTAATTCTCTGATAGACAACAGGAATATTATATTTCACAGGGGTAAAGTGAAAAAAATCAAACTTTTACCAATCTTAAAGCCCTGCAGTTCTTCCAAATGTTTTTTGGAATAATCATGCACTTTCTGAACATATTACTACAGAGCTTTTTAGTTCTAAATTCCAAATTTCTAACAAAATTTCTTTACAGAAATTATTAAATATATATTTTTAAATAATTACACCGAAAATGGAAGTATGTTGCATCACGTTACTATGGAGGAATTACAAAGAAACCATGCTACCTATATGTTAGTGCAATGAAAAAATAGATATAAAATGAGAATTCCTGGGTGCCAAGTTTGGGGCAAGTACTCTTTGGTGAAAGAACCCCACCAGAGATTTAAAATCACTAAATATGCAGCATACTAAAGCATGGAAATATAGGCTGTTAGAGCTATAAAAGATGCCCTTGTGAGTTCCAAAGCTTCCTTCTTTCCCTAACATAGAAATTTGGTAAGTTAAAAATGGTTTACTTACAAACTCTCCAAATGTCAGTTTCATGTGCTTTTCCATACAGCATTCAGAAAAGGTTGCACAGACAGTATTATTATTAGTATTTATTAAATTTTTCTACCACCCTTGATCTATATATTTCAGTAAAACTTGGCTTAGTTGCATAGTGGTGAAAGTTTCAAAATTATTGGTACAGGAATTCAAGAGAGGATTGTTAGAGACATGCGGCTAAGCTGGAGCAACCAACTTAGCCTCTTCACACACTGCATTCATCAGGTAGATTGAAGTGGCTTGATTAACTCCCTCCCCCAAAGTGAGCTAAACCTGGCAGGACAGTTTAACCCCTTTGTGCATTAACTAGACTAAGCATGTTAGTAATATGAGGCTGGTGATTTGTAAGTTTGCTAACTAAAATAAAATTATAATAAAATGCAAATATAAAGCCTCTGCTGAACCAGCTGCCAGAGAGGTGCAACAGAGGCCCCTACTGGGTACCCTCCAATCACATGATTAGCAGCAGGGCAGGCCCAGGATCCAGTGGATCCTGTGCTGGCCCAACCCCACAGAATTGCAGTTGTTTCTGAAAGCAGCTTCCATATACTAACCATTTGGGCAAGCACATTGGGGTGCTCCCTGCAGAGCCCCCACACCAGCAGAGGGGTTTGGAATGCACTCTGTCTCTTTTAAAAGTTATGTTAATTCATCGGACAGAAATAATGCTTATTTTTGGTCTGGTTTGATAACAATGTTTGTTTGCCCTTGCAAACCACCAGATCAGCAGAGGCCAATAAAGGTTCCAACTTTTCACTAAAGATCTTTGTTAAACAAAAATATATCATATGTCAGAAAAGTGTATATATAACTATAAGCATAATGTTACAGATGCAGCTGAAAAACAAGTTCCTCACTAACCCTCCCCACTTTTTCATCTGCTTATAATTTTATGATGTAAAATCCTTTTGAGCTGAAAATTTCCATGGTCAGTCTCAGCAGAAGAAAGTGAGCTTTCCTGGAAAAGTCTGCTGAGGTACTTCATCCTTCAGCTGCTTGCACTTGGACAAAGAAGAAAAAATTGGTTCCACTGTAACCAAGTTACACAAATGCTAACCTTGCAGTAATTGTAACTTGAATTATATGTACTTCCAACTTTATTAGAAATGTAGTCCTCATTAAGATCCGAAGTCATTTAAGTAGTTAGGCATATATTTAAAGACACACACATGGATATGCTAAACTGATTCCATTCCAAAGTAAAGAAAATTAAAACATATGTTATGTTAACAGCCAAAACATTTAGCATCTAACACTTCCCCAACATTCTGTTACGCTTGAGTATGACAAAGAAACAGAAGCCAGGGACCTTATTCCTCATCCATTGGAGGAAAAAAAGGACCAGAAGTAGGTTTATTCCCGTAACAGTGTTACCTCTTAACTTTCTCCAGTGAGGATGAATGGTTTCCAGTCAATGGCATGGGGAAGAAAGAAGAGTGTTCAGTGGAACTCATACATATAGCAAAAAAGCCACATTTTCCCACTGCATCTGAAACAGCCCAATGAAAAATATAAGCAGCATTTTGAAGAGGCTAGCAAGACCTCCTCCCTTCTCAAGCATCAGAAGCAGTAAAGGCATCCTTCAGCTTTATCTGGGCACCTTGTGAACGAAGTATTCAAGACAGAAAATTTCCCTAACTTTGTTCACTAACCTTTTTATTGACCTCAGCAACCGATAGGTACAAAGCCATCAGCATGCAATCTACACCACACACAGTAGTCCTTTCAGATTCTGAAAATAAGCGCCATTCTTTTCGAAAACACTGAATAATATTCAAGATCCTTTGCTGAAGGGAAGCCATGATCCTAAAATTAGAAAGTAAAATAATACTAATTTTACTTAGTTTTAGTGTTAGAAACTCAGATGTATAAGCTAATCACCAAACGGCAGCTTAAACCTAGGTTGAGGTTGCCAAAACTGAATGTCTAGGCGTCTTTTTGTGCAAGGAGATATATATATAATTATTATTATCTACATTTCTATACCACTTTATATTTTAAAGAAAAAATCCCAAAGCAGTTGCAACACATTAAAATGCTAAATAAAACAATCCAGAATAAAACTAATTCAAGCTTCAATGAGAATCTTTCAGACCCTTCTCTAAGTGCTTTCCCCATACTTATTTACCTACTTTATTTATATAGCTGCTCTATAGCAGAAGTACTCAGAAGTGTGGTTTAGTGGTTAAAGTGTTGGACCAGGACTTGGGAGATCAAGGTTCAACTCCCCACTCAGTCATGAAGCTCACTGGGCGACTTTGGGCCAGTCACAGTCCCTCAACCTACCTCACAGGGTCATTGCAGGGAATAATTGAGGAGTAGGGTGAACCATGTCCTCCTTGGAGGAAAAGGTATAATATAAACGCAAGAAATAAGTTGTTCTGCTTAAGAAAGCTGGAGAGACCAGCCAGATGGAGATGTCAGTTGCCAACTTGGCATCCAGAGATCTCATGGTAGCAATTGGACCCATGCCAGTAGCAAAATGTGCCTGGCATCTGGCTAATTTCTAACACTGCTTAGTTTAATTTTGAACTACACAGGAGGGGTAAACATTTAAAAGAACAGGATAAACATCATATTCTACATGACTGGGGGAATGAGAAGCAAACACATCTAAATGACATTCAATAAGGACAGAACATGGCTCAAGAATAAATGTGACCTGGAAACAACAGGGAAATATGAAAGATTATGATGAGTTACCAAAGTGAAAGTATGACAGAAAAATCCTATGTCATTTGAAGGTGAATAAAAATAACCTGGGGGCCAATTCTACATTGGCTTTGTGTACCAGTTCTCCATAGCGGACTGGTGCACACAGGAGGATTTAATCTCTACTCAGCAAATGAGCTGGGGGTTACATTCTACTCAGTTTGGCTACATTAGCCAGTTCTTTACATAGAATTGGTGCATGCAACCAACTCAGTGGTCTGTGAGGCCAATCCTGATAAGGATCTGGCCCATGCAGCCAAAAAGATTCCCTAAAGCTATCTTAAAGTAAAAGCCTGAACTACTACAACTATCTGGAGCATCCTAGAATGTCATTTCATCTGATACCATAGTGAGCACTAAAGCTAGTGAGGTCCAAATTCTGGAACTATTTTACTCTAAAGCAGCAATCAGTTCTAAACCAAATATTTGTATTTTGCGTTATTCCTGCTGTACACCACCTTGTGATATTTGGATGAATGACAGTATGGACATTTAAATAATGATGATAAAGTAGCAGCAAAACTATAAGGTGATAATCATGAGGGAAATTTCTATTGCCTTTCTCTTCATCCTCTGCATTTGTAGGATTGAGGCATCTTGGAGACACATTTAGGCTACTATCTATCTTGCTCTAGTACTTTTGCCGGGGGTTGGGGAGCCCCTGAAAGAGGCTGGCATTTCCCCCTTCTACTGGCAGAGTCTTTTTTCAGGTTCTGCTAATTTGGCAACTATGCCCATTCCTGAAAAAGAGACACCTGAACACTGATGCATGCCCTCATAATCTCTCATCTAGACCGTTTCTCTTCAACTCGTCACATATATGGTAAGAAACTAAGAAGTGGGCCCTCACATGTACGTGTGGGTCCTGGGTGTGACCATGGATCAAGACTAATATAATGCTGTACAGAAGACTGTTTAAAAAATCTAATTAAACCAAAATGCAGCGACCAGATTAATGCCTGGTGCTTGCAACAGAGAGCATATAACACCTGCACTTCAAAAGTACCACTGGTTGCCAATGTGTTCCCAGACTAAATTTGAAGGTGCTAGCACATACTTTTAAAAGTTTGGGCCTATATAACTCCCTCCATACGTTCCTTCCTTTAAGACCTATGAATGAGAACCTTTAGGCACTTATTGTGTCTATTAAGCAAGAAGTCACTGTGATGGCTCCGAAGCTTTGGGAGCAACTCCTCAACACATTGCGACAGACTGGGGATCCTGCACTTGTAAGTACCGTAGATGTTTAAAGCCTAATGGCAATCATCATTTATTCGCTCTCTCTTTTACACCAACTGTGATTTTATCTCATCCCTGTTTAATTGTTTAATTGTAACTGTCACTCACTTCAGAAAATCACGATGATTGAAAGGCTGGTTCAAAGTAACCTGAAACAAATTCAACCGTGCGATGTTTAACACATAAAGCTCTGGTAAAACCAGCGATGTATCACTTTTTCCCTGTGCTGGCGGGGTGGGTGGAAGATGTACCGTTTGGATCCTTGTGAAAGAATGAGCACAAAGACAAAATTCAAAAACTTTTAAAAGCGAGGTGGGAGGAGAAAATGTCTAACCAAGCACCTACTAAGAGTTCGAGAAAGCCTTCTTCACACAATTCAACGTACGGTAATAGATTATATGCCTAATCCTCCCCATGTCCCCAATCACCGCAGCCATGCCTTTATTGGCAGCGTAGCACATTCCCTTTTTTGTAAATAATTTTTATTTGACTTTAAGAAGATATAAACATATAACAAAAGCAACTGAAAAACCATATAAAGATATTACTCTGAATCTCAGGACCCCTCCCCCCATCCCCTCCATGGGTCCTAATAACAATGTTTACAACTGCTTATCAGTTCGTTGTCCTTTTTTTTTAAATCCATCTAAACTGTCCATATTTTTTGTTACTTTACAAGCGGGATTAAAATCCTGCTACACATTCCCATCCAGCATGGGATGTACAGTACTATTGTTAGGAGCAAGAAGAGACCAGGGCGTTGTTAGTTTCCCCCGGTCAGCTGGCAACCCTAACTTCTAGCAGCGCCGTTATTAACGTCCTCCCTGCCCCACCGCTCTGCCTCTGCTCGTCCGACAGAGCTACGGCCACCTCCCTACTCACCCTGCGGTCGCGAAAGAGAACCGCCACCTTTCTAAGCAGAAGCTGGGACTCAAAAGCCCGGTGGGTTGCTAAGCAACCCTCAGCACGCTCCGCCAACCGGCTGTTCGCGGCGGTTTAATTTCAAACTCGTCGGCACCAGCCAATCAGCAAGCGCGGCGCTCCGTGACCCGGAAGAGGTTTGTCGCGGTTGCGGGCAGATACCGGAAGTGCTGAGTTCTGACAAATTCTTCGCGGGAGCGTGCCGCTCAGAAAATGAGGTGCGGAAGTTTGGAATTGGGTTTTTTTTTAATGGTGGGAGATCTTATGAATATTATGCTGGATCAGGGCACGTGGGGCGGGGGGTCTTGCGGTCTAACGGCTGTTTCCAGGCTCTGAGGGGTGGGAGGGTGGAGATCTGCGGAGGTTTCATCGCCTCAGTCTTCAGGGCAGGGGAGAGGGTAGATTTAACTTTTTAACATTGAAGCTCAACGCTGCGCTGTGCGAGGAATACCTCATCCAGATAGAAACATTGTTATTAGGGCCGGTTGAAGCGTCTAGGAAAATATGTAGCACGTTTCTTCCTGTGCTGTGTGTTGTACTCCTAGGAAGTGCTGGATGGGAACTACGCGTTGCTCAAGATACAGCAGCGGTAACACTGGAAGCCGTTTTGTATTTGATATGAACTAATAGGCTCTCCTTTCTATTTTATATCAAAGGTTGCTGGCATGGAATGCTTATGCACACTTAGGAAGAACCACTTGATAAGCAACGTTCAAATATTGCAGCCAGCCTTGATTTTTCTGCCTCCTCACTCTGGATATTGTACAGCAGCCTTCCCCAGCCTGGTGCCCTTCAGTTGGTTTGGGCTACAAAGCCCATCAGCCCCAGTCAGTATGGCTAGGAAACAATGGTTCCAGCCGCAACTAGAAAGCGCCAGTTTGGAGCTGGGAGAGGCTGTTGTACAGGCTGCTTCTAATTCTCTCAAAATTGGCAGTCAAACCTGCACAATTATTTTTGAGGGACAGAAGAAGAGTTGTTGTGAAGTAACAGCAGCAGGAAAAACTACATGCAAAAAAGACCCACTTCAAATAATGAACAGTAACCTGTTGTGAAAGAATGTTTACTTTCAATAAGCACTGGCGTTAAAAAATTAAAAAGTATCATAGATCTTTCCAAATGGAAATGAGAGAAATGTTTTGATTATTTGCAAAGCCCATGGTAGAATTGTTTCATTTTCTTATATTTATATCCTGCCTTTTTTTTCCATCATGGAACTCAAGGTGGTGTACATGTGGTTTTCAGTAGCCCATCTAATTACTGATCAGATCCCACCCAGCTTATCTACAGTTCATATACCTTTAGACCACCACCACCACTGTGCTTTATGCCTTGATTCTAAAGGGTGTTTAAACATTAGGACCATCTATTTCTATGAATATTCCTTCAAAGTAAAACCTGTAGGGGAAAAGATAAGATCTTCAAATGCCTGAGGAACAGCATCATTTATATGTAACATGATGGTACAAAACTACACATGTATCTAAACATAGTGATCTAAAAGAAATATTTTCCTATTATGGTGCTGTTCTATTTCCTTTGCAGCACAGTAAGATATGTATTCAGAAGGGAAGCCTAGTCTACACAGTCACTTGTTTTCCTGTAGCTCTCTTTCTCTTTCTATATCCATTCTATTAAACTGTAATAGATATATAATAAATATATTCCTTCAGATGAGGAATGAATATATATATATATATATAGCATAGTACCTACAGTAAATAACATTAAGCGCTTTATTTTTAAAAAGATATTGCAGCAAGAATGTATTATTACACTCTGCTTACTATTTCATGTGGTCTGTTGAACTATTTGTATGCTTTATTTAATTCAATTCTGAAAGTTTGTAGGCTGCCCAAGGAGCATGTTTGACGGGTGGAGTAAAAGTGCCTTAACTAAAAATAGCAGAATGAGGTGGACTTTTTAGACCTCAGGTGAAGGATGACATTTTTAAAATGCTGCTATGTGCACAAGACCTCGTGTATGTTTTAAAAACCAAAGCTAGTATATCAAAAAGGAAAGGTTTAAGCCAAGTGCACTCTTTGCTATGCTGGGTTTTTTTCACTTGTGCAAAGACAAAGTTCAAAACTTTACTCATTGTCCAGTCTACTACTTCTGAATTATATTGCATTATATTCCTGTATGTGTATCTATCTTCCATTGATTTCAATGCAACTCCCAAGCATTTTTTGTTAGGTTGATGCCTCAAACTGCAATTGCTTACTTGAGCAAAAGTGTTATTGGCACAGTGGAACTTAGCTCTGAGTAAAAGCAGATAACTGACAGCCCAATTGTATTCATGTGTGCGTTTACAATTCAGTTCCTTCTCCAACTGAAGAGCCTACTGTTGACTTGAATCCATTTACTGAAGATGAAGCAGGAGAATTCCCGAAGTGCGTCCTATACTGTAGAGTGTGAAGATTACGTCCATGTGGTGGAATTCAACCCATTTGAGAGTGGCACTGCAGAATCACTCATTGCATATGGTGGCAATAATTATGTGGTTATTGGGACCTGCAGGTTCCAGGTTAGTATGCTTCATAGATCTGAAGCTTATTAAGAAGGCATTGTAACTTGAAAACAAATATGGCTATTAGTTTTGAGAAGCTGAAAATGTGAATGATGCACTGGGGAAGAAAATAAGTTCTATGTATAAGTGTGCACAATAATTTTGTAACCATTGGTTGTCATCTTTTTGTCTTTATTGCCAAAGATACCTAAGGTGGCATATCACATTTAAAAGGCACAGTTTTTTTAAAAAAAATGTTTTTTTTAAAGAAGCATTTATTTGCTTGTTTGGTTGTTTATTTAACAATATATATTTGCAATGCAGTTTATATTTGATTAGCATTGATTTCTTTCTGGGGGAAAGCCCTTCATAAAACATTCCATAGATAGCACTCACTAGTTTGGAATACTGATGGGAGAAACCTGAGGGAGCTGGGAGAACCAGAATGGCTTCTTTAGGATTCCATACATGGGGATAGAATGGTATTGCTGCAACACAGTCCTATACATGTCTTCTCAGAGGTGTGTCCCTATGTGTCTGATATACCTTACCCCCAGGTAATTATATAGAAATGCATGATCTTTCTCATGAGAGGAAGTGCACAAAGAATCTGCAATACCATGTAGTCGGGCCCCAAATTAATAATTCAGGAGCCATGTTGTTTGTCAAGTCTATCATATCACAAAATATTTGAGATGTTTTATTACTTGCTCACAAGTGCATTGCATGTATCTGTAGGATGAGGATACAGAAGTGGAAGGAATTCAGTATAAAACGCTAAGAGTTTTTCATCATGGAATTAGAGTTGATGTCATTGCATGGAGTCCAGAAACTAGACTTGATGCTTTATCTCCCCAAATACGGTAATGTATCCAGCTAAAATGTAAACTTTCTTGGTCATTTTTTATTGTGCTAATAACACACCTACAGTCGTACCTTGGTTTTCGAACAGCTTAGTTCTTGAAAATTTTGGCTCCCGAATGCCGCAAGCCTGGAAGTGACTGCTCCAGTTTGTGAATTACTTTTGGAAGCCGAACGTCCAACGGGGCTTCAGTGGCTTCCAATTGGCTGCAGGAGCTTCCTGCACCAATCAGGAGGCGTGCTTTGGTTTCCGAATGTTTTGGAAATTGGACAGACTTCCTGAACAGATTCTGTTCAACTTCCAAGGTACGACTGTACTCAGAAGCAAGTCTCATTGAGTTATATGGAGCTTACTCCAAGGTAAGTGTGTGTAGAGCTGCAGCCTTAGACAACTGATCCTGGAAAGTCAGTTATGAATGTGATGGATAAACCTCTGTGTTTAAAAATGAATGCTACTGTATATATAAAATAAACTCTGCACTTGACTAACAAAATGTGTGCAGGAACAGGGAACGAAGCAATGTGGTGATCTGTCATACAAGCAGTACTGGAGTGTCTTTTGTGAAACAGTGCCCATTCTCTGAAAGTCTTAAAGAAATCTGTCCAGATAAGTATTAGCATTAATCTGTAGCAACAAGACTGGTGTGGAGTGGGGGAACTCTGCCAAAGTACCTTTTGTTAAACCAAGTTTTAACAAGTTTTTGTAAGCAGCCTAATTCGTCACATGCAATAATTTGCCAGTACAGAGGGACAGAAGCAATTGGTCCCCTTATGCTATGCTGTGTGCGCAGCCAACCCAGAAATACAGAGCCACGTCTGCTATGTGAACGGCACTTTCTCCTGTAGCTATCCAAGGCAGAAGAAAACTGTTCATGCGTTCCATGTGGTGCTGCATTGTGCAGCTGGGTCTGAGAGCCCTGGTCGCCAGGGTAAATTGTCGTTTGCTTATTTCCTCTGAGGCAACTCAGACTTTGGTAAGGTGTCATAGCAGTTTTTGTCTTTTCAGTTTTTGCCTGTACTATTTTATGTTAAATCTGATTAAGTTACAATATTAAGCTGAAGAAACTTGAGTAATTGAAAGTGTTGAATGATATTTAATTATTTGACTAGCACTACTAGCATAATAGGCATTGACTCAGATCCCTTCATGGGCTTTGTTCCTGCTATCTTCTTAATTTTTGTAAGTGTTTGGTTATCAGCTACAAGTTACATAAATGCTATTGATTAGCTCCACACATCAATACATATAAGTTGTTCCTAACATACTAACCTACAAAATCAGGAGCGGTATTATTTTCTTTAATTGCAAGTGATTCCTGCCTGGCTGTGATCTAATGTGTATGTTCAGAGAAATATGGCAGCTTAATTATTTTTCATTTTATAATGAATAATGCAAATTTACTTCGAGAAATTCATCTTTGATAACATTGCCAACTATATTTCACTTGTATGGAATGACTAAATGTATTGCTTGTCTAATTACCTTAGATTTTGTACTGCAGCTGCTGATAAGAAATTAAGGTTATTCACCTCAGATCTCCAAGAAAATAATGGATATAAGGTGAGGAGAAACAAATTATAATGATAAATGCTATTTTGTGTTCTTTATTTAACATGCCAACTTTTAAAAGTAAATATTGTTGGAGTGGTAGTTATGAAGTTATATAAATTTTGTAAACCTTAAATCATTTATTTTAACACTTTTAAAATAAGTGTGTTCTT